AGAGAATTCATTAAAAGGACACGAATCCTTTACCTGTACAAAAGTGCGAAATGGCGCGGATGCTAAGGAGTATAGAGCATACTGTAGATCCTCACTTGGGCATGGCAATGGGGAAACCTGAAAAGCAAATTAAAATTTTTTTCGAATATGAAACCTTTCAATAATTAACTAACACTTATAGATTCCACCATAACATCAACATGGAGCGATAATTGTTTCAAATTCGGCAAATTTGGTGGAATTGGCCCGAGAAGTCGACCCAAATAGCCGCCAGGTGTATATGGTGAGCAATCTAGAATTATAGAATAATATGAAGACCAATAATTTTTTACATTGTTTGAAGAAAGATTGCTTACCTCCCACACTTGTTGCTGAATATGGATTTCTAAATGCATCCACTTCTTTCATGAGAATTGTGACTTCGCTTAGGTTGTTGGCTAGCCTAAGAAGACGTGGTGCCGATGAAGCCATAAAAAGAAGCGGACGTCGACGTCCTCTCGAGTCGATCAAACGACATTCGGAAGGGTCATCGCCAAGCTAAAATTGCAAAAAAAAGTCCTTTCGTACTCTAACAGAATATGCATTTATTTAGGGCAAGGTAAGAGTTTCTTCTTGCGCAAGTAAGAAACCTCTTCCGGACGTTGTTTACCTAACGAGAACGCGCTATCAACGTAATGGCATGGGATCAGAGTTAATCGCACTGACCCGTAGTGCAGATTAACACCGTGCACTTCAACAAATATGAGCATATAACGAATCCCATAGCGGTCGCTGATTACGGTTACGGTAACACTTGAATAAAGTGAATTTCACCTAGAAAATGAGTTGACTTTTACAAACTCCATTCAAAATCTATGATTTCTATATCGATTATATTTTAGAATTTTATTAAAACTTTAGCTTCTATTTTACCAAAGACATCTTTACAACCCCAAGGAAAATTGATTTCAAGCACTAGTACTGATTTTACTACTTACTTTATACTTTTTTATTTACTGAGGTTTTTAAACGTTTCAAAACATTCAAAGAACTCCTTTTTCTCCACACTCTGCATTTACGCTACGTATTTCACCATAAAAGTAGTCAATTTACTATGGGAAACTCCCGTTCCCAGCATGTCACACAGGAAACCCTGCGGAAAACTATTCACACTCAATTAATGCCTGATTGGTCTGGTTCTTAGCGCTTCCCTAAAATGTCCAGGAGGCTCAAACCTCAGCCAATAGCACTAATTTATTGCTCAAGTGCC